AGTAGGTATTGTTGAACATAAAGAGATTTACCTGGTGTTTCTTTTGATCTTGGAACCACATGACCATTACTTATTCAAAATAATAAATAGATTTTTAAAGATACCAAAAAATAAACATGACTTGCCTTTCCCTTTCACTCCTAGAGGCAGCTACTTAACCAGTCACATCTGCATCTTTCCAGACACATTTATCTTTTGGAGTACATAATGAACTATATACTTTTCCTTTTCCTCCCTCCTTCACAAGTGGTTGGTTATTGTGGACATTGTTCTGCATCTAACTGGAAGATTGTTTCTTATCAGTGCATATGTAGATGTGTCTCTTTTTTAACAGATGAATAGTGTTCCATTATATCCCCTGTTAATGGACATTGATATTTCTTTTGATACCACAAACAGTGCTGCAGTCAGTAACCTTGCACATATATCATTTTGCACATGCTTCAGTATAGGTTATTTCCTCAGGACTTTGTCATTTGGGGCTGTATAATTCTTTGTTGTAGGAGCTGGCTTGTGCATTATAGGATGTTTAGCACATATCTGACTTCTTTGTAATAGATGCCGGCAGCACCCCCAGTCCAAGTTGTAACAACCAAAAGGTCTGTGGACATTACCAAATGTTCCTCTAGGGAGTAAAAAAATTGCCTCTGCTTGAGAACCACTTTTAATTTATCTTTAGAATGAATTTTTAGAGGTAGAATTACTGGATGTAAGGTTATGTGCATTTAGAATTGTGATGGTTATTGCTAAATTGTTCTCCGTAGAGGTTGTACCATTTTACACTCCAGCAGTAATGGAAGGTATTTTCTCATTTTCACCAGAATGGTGGTTTATAAAAATTATATTTTTGCCATCTTACCATAGTTTTAATTCATAGTTCTGTGCTTTATTCTTTATTATTGAGCACTTAGTGCTTGCGAGGCATGTAGTATTTTTTGGCTTTGAGTTTTTGTGACATACTTTGAAATGCCTTCCTCTCTATCTAGCCCTCTTAAAGTCTAGTAGCTAGAACTGTGGACGGTACTCTGAGTTTCTTCTGATCATAAAGAAATGACAACACATACCATTTATTGAGATTTCATATGTGATATACATTGTGCTGCTTGTGCTTTAAAAATCTATTATCCCCGTGTAACCTAAGCATTTATTTGTAATAAAATGCCGTATCTTATCCTTTTGAGTTGGTATATGGCATCTCTGGACATATTCGGGTAGTCATGGTCTCCTGAAGTAGGATGTGTCACAGAGAACTAGCTGAAAAAAGTATTTAATTCTGCAATTAGGAGTCATAATAGTTCCTGCCATGTGATTGGGTCAGAATTGGTTTAGCTGTCCCAATTTAAAATTGTAAGTTCCCTCTGTTATTTTCTCTTCCAGGACTCTCTTATTTTCTTTAATTATTTGACGTGTGAAATTATGACTTTGTGTATACTTTGCTTAATACTTGTCTCTAGGCATATTTGTTCACTAAATATCAAACACCTAACATAATGTGTGGTATACAATATGTGCCCAGTGATATTTGTTGAATGAATGAACTACTCTAAGAACTGAGGCACATTGGAAATTGGGTTATTTGGGGGCCTAAGAGCCCAGATCTGCCATTCAGAGGTTGAAGAGTTTAGTTAGCTCAGCAATGGGTTCTGTCACATTCCTTGGATGAAGTCATCTTCTCTCATAAAAGGGTCAGAACTAATTGGTTTTTATGTTTTTCTCTGGACAGTTTGGGCTGCCGGTCCAGATGACTCTTCAGGAGTTTGGCTGAAACTTGTGGAAGAGAATGAGTAATATTCCTCTGAGTTAATGGCTTCCCCTGCTTCATGCTTAAGGAGTCATGGTTATGTTTACTTGAGGCAAAGTGATAGCCTCTCTTAAATGAGCAGGTATCTAGAAATTGTGGTGTAATTGAGTTATGACCTAAGCAATTTCCCAACATTTCCAGAGATCAGAGTCTGTGTTAAGGGAGCCTTAAGACACAGTCGCCTCTGGCTTTAATGACTACTCTGTTCATCTAGCAGGATGTTTGGAACGCTGTTTGACAACCGCAGCTTGCTCACTTTTTCTCTACTTAGAATTTCTATGAGGATGATTCTTTAGTTTGGTCAGATAACTTGCTTTGCTAGTTTGCTGTTCTCTGCCCTGGAGTCTGGCACTCGGAAACCAGAACAATAGGGTGGGGCGGGACAACAAGGAGAAGTTCACTGCCTCTGAGGGGAGAAAGAGAAGCTGGGTCCGTAGTGTAGCAAACCCTGTCTTTTATAAAGGGTCAGGTAGTAAATATTTTAAGGTTTGTGGGGCATTGGTTTCTGTCACCTGTTATTCTTTGTTTTTCAAAGCTCTTCAAAGATGTAAAAGCCATTCCTAGGTCATGAGCCTTATAAAAACAGGCCATAGCCAGATTTGGCCCATAGATCATGATAGTTTGCCAACCCCTGAACTAGAAAAGAAATTAGTGTATTGCTAAATGTGTTTGCTTTAACGTTTTGGGGACATGAACCTGTAATAACCTCGGGAATTCTCAGTTAATTGTGATCCAAGGAAACTCTGGCATGGAAAGTCAAAGTAACCCCACTGTCAGTCACCTTGGGACTAAAAGTAACCTTGGCCAGTGTGGCAGCAGCTGTCCTGTGGGACAGAGGGATCTTGCTGCCTTTTCCCATGAAAGTGCTGGCCAAAGGTGATGGGGACGGAAAAGTGGAATGGAGCTGTGGCCCTAGAATTAGGCTGGAATTAGACAGATTTAAGGAATACCGTGACTCAGCAAATTAAATTTATTAAATCTTAGAACTACATCTAATTTCCTGAACCTCTGTTGGGATATAGTTAGAAATCTGGCATATGCAATCAGTTTGGCCAGTTTATAAAAAATGAAAGAGCAGGTTTGTACCTTGAATTCTGAGAAAAACACCAATTCTGATACATGAGTCCAGATTTTCCCCGTGGTTTTTCTCTGGTCACAAGAAGTACTGTAGAGCAGAACTGGCGTGAAGGAAGTGTTAGTTTATTTCAAGGTAGTCTGGAAGATAGGAGGGCATAGTGGTGGTTAAAGAGCATGGGCTGCGAGAAGAATGTATTTGTCAAACTCCTACTCTACCACTTAATAGCTGTGTGATCCTGGGTAACTTACTTTGTCCTCTAAGCCTCAGTTTCCTTACCTGTAAATAGCATTGAGGATGATAACTCCACCATAGGGTTGTTGTAGAATTAAGTGAGGATAGTACAGATAAAATGCTTCCTATATAACTCAATGTCAGTCATGTTAGCATTCAATAAATGTTAGCAATAATCATGATAATGTGAAAGTGGAAGATATGAAAGATCAAATACAGGAACTAGTATTTGTGACTCAGTGCCACTGAACTATCATGTCTTAATCACTAGTCGTATGGGAATGTAAAAGGAGCATTAATGGATTAGGAGTCAGAAGAACTGAGTCTGTGTCTACCTTGCTTGGTTTCCAAATTGGTCAGATGGAAATTAAATATGTTGACAGGTTGTGAGACCACATGTGAAGGGCTTCAAGTTCTATAAAGCATTGGACAAAATTTAAGGTAACGTCAGTAACCTGTTCATTTGTTCAGTTTCTTAAACTTCTGAGTGTATTAGAATAGAGCCAGAAGATGATTGGTGTGAAGCCAGAATGTTTGCCAGAAAGACTTGATAAGATGCTCCCAAGTTCACCAGTTGAACTGGAAACTTGTGGTTAGGAATGAGTAATAAAAAACTGGAATGCTTTTGTAAGATATTTGAAATAGTAGAATTTAAAAAATGAGTGGCCACATTAAGTGAAAAAAGCCAATCTAAAAAGGCTACATACTGTATGATTCCAGATATGACATTCTGGAAAGGAAAACTGTGGAAACAGTAAAAAGATTATTGAGTGCCAGGGTTTGGGGGCAGGGGGAGAGGAATAATCGGAGCGCAGAGGATTTATAGGGCAGTGAAAATATTTTGTATGTTACAGTAATGGTGGTTACATGTCATTCTACATTTGTCCAAACCCATAGAATGTACAGCACCAAGAATGAATTGTAGTGAATTGGGGAGTCAAGGAGTATATTGGAAATCTCTGTACCTCCCTCTTTATTTTGCTGTGAACCGAAAACTGCTCTAAAAAAAAAAATAGTCTTAAAAATTTTTTAAAAGAGTGGCCCATTTAGGGAGATAGGCTGGAGGAGTTTAATCTCTCTGTAGAAAATGTGACAATGTCTTATAAAGTTAAAACTGTATATTTCCTTTTCCCCTGCAATTCTCTTTCTAGGAATTTATCCTGAAAATATGTTTGCTTGTTCATTTTGTATGCTAAATCATGTATGTATATGGTTATTCATTATATTATTTCTAACAACAAAAAAGTGGAAAATATTGGTGTCCAACTTCAGGAAACCAGTTAACTAAATAAATCATGGTGCATTCTTACAGTTGAAAACTATGCACCCGAAAAAGTGAGGGAGTATATATTGCTGATTGAACCCTCTTCCATGATATGTCAAGCTAAACCAAACCAAACCAAACCAAACCAAAAGCAAGGCGAAGAGCAGTGTTCCTGGTATGCCAGGTTGGAGCGGGGCAGGAATCGTTAGAAAAGATCAATTATGATTTACATATATAAACATGGAATAGTGGGAAGAATATGAAGCTGATAATATGGTTGCACCTGTGGACAGGAACTAGCTAGCTAGGGGATAAGTAGGAGGGAAATTTCCTTTTCACAGTATACTCTCTCTTTTGAAATAGATCTTATATTCTTTTATTTTCTGTTTAAAAGTTGAGCTGCCACAGATCATATCATTGGAGTTGAAAACTATGAAAGATCTCTGTATTTTCCTCCCACATCTGTGTCTGCTACCTGTAGTTCTGCCTGGTCCCCTTGACCTTGATGACTTGTGAAGATGGCACTGACTCTAGACTTACCCTAAAACAGTCCCCCACCCCCAAAGCATATTAATGTCTCTTCTCTTAATTTGTGTGACTAATGGTGTTTCTGTTTCCACCCCCAGCTTTGGCAGCATGTAAGCAACTTCTTGCCAAGAACCCAGGTCACCACTGAGAAGAGTCCTTAGGGAGAAGAATATCCAGAGGAAACCAATGCCAGGAGTGTCTGGAATTATACTCACTGCAGGCAGCATGAGACATTCTGTGCCAGCATCTGTGTCCTACTGGCAAAGACTGTAATTCTCCAGGTAGGAGGGTCCTGGAAGCATCATGCACCAGGAGCCTCTCCAGAGGAAAAATGGGGCCAGATATGAACTCTCTACAATGAACACAATTTTCAGCTTATGAAGAAATTTTAAGTAAAACACTTATTTAATTCCCACATATTCAAGTTCAGTAGCCTTCTGAGTGAAGTGCCAGCAGTCACCCCACCCTCTACAGGAGTTATCAGCATTTTTCTGGCACCAAGTTGAACTCTTCTTGGTATTTTTGGCAATGACAGATAATCAGAACAGATTTATCTGCTAAATGCTCTTGGGCAGGAAAAAAAGTAAAACTTCTGGAAGCAGTGTAAGGGTAGCGGAGCAGAGATCCCTGCCTCACTGCTCACTGTCACGGAAACAGCCTGGACTCTGATGCTCATACCGAAGATTGACCCTGCCTCATTTACCTCCAAAGTCCATCTATTCCGGGGAGATCCGACGTTTTCGGGTTGCCTCCTGTGGCCCTTTTTATCATTTTACTCCCAGGCTTTCTGTTGAGGCTGTCGAATGATATGAACTTTGGAATGGAGTTTATTTTCTGTTGGGAACTTGCCTCCTTTCTCAGGGGGGTGCTGTCTCAGAGGACCATCTGACGTCCGTGCGTTGTTCTTGGGGAGAGGAGGGCATTGGCCTTGCCTGGATCCTCCACCATGTTCCTGTTGCTGCCTTTTGATAGCCTGATTGTCAACCTTCTGGGCATCTCCATAACTGTCCTCTTCACCCTCCTCCTTGTTTTCATCATAGTCCCTGCTATTTTTGGAGTTTCCTTTGGTATCCGAAAGCTCTACATGAAAACTTTGTTAAAAATCTTTGCGGTGAGTTGTTCTGTTTACAAAATGGTTGCTTCAGAGAGGAGAGAGAAGAGTCGTTCTTTGGTTGATTGTTATCTCTTTATTGGTATTTTGAGTACAAAGAATAACTAAATGTGTACTTGCGAAAGCCTTTAGCAATCTTTTTGAGCTAAGGTACTTGTGTGTCTGAGTATTCTCATCAAAGGAACCTATTATATGACTCCATACTTTGCCTGTTTATTTCAAAGAGAGGGGCTTAGAGTTGAAAAAAAGTCACTACAAGACCCTCCTTATTCTTGCATAACAGATATTGAAATACAAAGCTGCTGCTGAAATATTCCCTCACTGAGAAATATGGAAGAGTCTTTTATCTCTTAAATAGGTTCTTGAATTTTATCTTAGTTTCTTGAATTTTAGACAAAAAGAATGAACAGACAAGGGCATTTGATGAATCGTTTTATCTTTTTAAAGATAGAGAGGGAGAATACATTTCTTAACATGCATTAGAACTTAACTATTTTATACTGCTAAACAGAACTGGTTGTAATGTAAAGGCATGCGTGAGAAGTGATATTTCCAGGAAGTTGGTCCGTGCCCCAAAACCTAATATCTATTCAAAGATTGAGTAATTTATTAACAATATTTTTAGTTATCACCAAATCTTCAGGAATTCTTTTTCACAATTGAGACCATGTATAATTTGAGAAATGCATTCATAATAGTAAAAATAATACAGTATTATTTGTTCATATAGTATCTAATGGTTTTCAGAATCATTTCATTCATTTTTCTTTGGTTTGTTATAATTCTGAAGTGGTCAGGGTATCTACATTTTATCAATGAAGAAATAGAGACTCAGAAAGATGGTGAGCTATATGAAATGTTATATTACAGTAGGAAATTTTTTATGTGTATTATTGAATCTTGGGTGCTATCTTTTGATATTTAATATTCCTATAAGAATGATTTTTTTCACATTTAGAAAAATTGAGGTGAAATTTACATAAAATTAACCATTTTAAAGTGGTTAATTTGGTGGCAATTACTGTACTCAGTGTTACATGACCACCAACTGGACATAGCTCCACATTTTCATCACTCCAAAAGGAAACCCCATACTCATTGCGCAGTTCCTCCCCTCCCCCATTTCCCCCTCTACCAGCCCCTGGCAGCCAGGAGTCTATGTTCTATCTCTGGATTTACCTATTCTGGATATTTCATATAAATGGAATCATATGAAAAGCGCTGTTTTGTGTCTGACTGGCTTCTTTCGTTTGGCATAACGTTTTGAGATTCATCCACATTATCACATGTTTCAGTATTCATTAAAAAAATGACTGAATAATATTTTGTATCTATACCATAATTTGCTTATCCATTGCTAGGCTGTTTCTGCCTTCTGGCTATTGTCGGTAGTGCTGCTGTGGTGTACGTGCACTTGAGTACCTGTTTGCAGTTATATGATTTCTAGTTCCTTGCTTAGGCAGGGTCTGGAGACCAGCAGCACGAGTATCACCTAAGAGCTGATCAGAAGTGTATGTATGTGGCCCACTCCAGACCTACTGAATTAGAATTTGCATTTCAGTAAGATCCAGGTGATTCATATGCACACTAACTTTTGAGAATGGTAATCTAATCAATCTTTGGACTCGTTACTAGAGTATTTATTTTAATGAATCAGGAAATGTAATTTTCTTAAATATTTCAGTCCAAAAAAATCTTCAGTAGAGCCCAGGGTTTCTTTGAATCATATAACATTACTCCTGCTCTTTTGCCATTGTGAAAAACGTACACCAGTATAGAATCAGTAGAATAGATAAACTTTTAAGAGACAACAGTGAGTGATGTCTAGCTTTTATTCAAGTTATAAGCAAGTAGTTAATTCATAGACCTATGGAAATCCTTGCTTTTAAAATATAGAAATAGGAATTATCAGCTAGGTTTCTTCTGTAGTAGCTAAAATTTTTTAACTTGGTCACTTTGGGTGGGACAAAAGGCCTAGAATCCATGTATATCCCCTCCTCTGTTTTGAAAATATCTCCTAAAATTAATATTTTAAAGTTCATAGCTAGGTAAATCTTCTTATTGTGACTCTGTTTCAAAGTAAATCTTTTTGTGACTCTATTTCTAAATATACATTCTTATGATTTTTAAGGTAGATTATAATTAAAAATGGAAAATTCATTAATTATATATTGTTGAGCCAATCCATAAGACAGGTAATCTTAAGCCATCAGAACCTCTTTGCTAACTATATCTTGAATATCATTATTTTGGGGCACAGTGATTTAAAAGTGGTAATGGAAGTAATGTGTGTATGTGTGTGTATATATGTGTGTACCCATTTTTGACCTCAAAATTTAGAATCTCAAGAAATAGATTTGTACTTCTTATTTTCTAAAGGTGTGTGTCAAAGGGCCCGATGGCTCCTGTCCTGTTGAGCATCATAGATAATTACACCTTGGCAATAAGATAGAGTAAGGGCTGGGCTAGGAAGAGCTGATATATACCAGTAAGGGCATAGGGTGCCTCTGTAAGAGTGTCTGGTCTTTTCTCACCCTCTAAAAAGAGTTACTGCTCTGAGTTGATATTAATGAGCGTGAGAAATGAATACTAACTTTAT